GTTCCAGAGTTTCTGCTACAAAATTCTCAGAACTGGCTCTTGCCTTTCCAAGGCTTTGTGTAACTGCACTGCTATGGGCTAGCTTGCCCCATTCTGCTCACAAAACTGTGGGCAGGGATTATGAAGTGTCCCTTGCAGAAGCTAATGATAAGCATTCCTTATAGTGAGAAGTCATTGGGGCCCTGAAAAAATTAATATGGGCAAAAGGCTCCCAATCCAGTTGGTCCTTTGAATGCCCAGAGATCTCAGATCTGCATGTATTGCTCATGCCTTCCTATTGGTTGGCTGGCTCCCTGCCCTCTGGCAGAAGGAGCAATATTCCCATTGGTCATGTCCCTGAAGCTTGCTCAGCAGTAGCCACTGGGTGAGGGACACAGGAGGAAGCTTAAAACTGTTTCAACCACATGACTGTTAGTGTTTTAATTTGTATCCAGAATGTCGTCTTGTATATTTTTCAAAAATATTCATGTTTATAAAAGTCCTGTCTGTCTCTGCTATGCTGACAGATTGCATGAAGAGCACCATCATGGCTGTATAACAAGTCTGCTCAAATCCATCTGACATTGCCAGTCTGTGAAGAGAGTGGGGAAACATTTGTGTAAGGACCATAGAAGTACAGTGGCTAAAGCATAAAGAGATCAGCCAAGGATCAGTAGATCCCCTGGAACACAGACTAATAAAATATTAGGCTAGAAGAGACCTCAAAAGATAATCTAGTTCAGCCCCCCACACTGAGGCATAGGGTTACCAGATGGTTTCAACAAAAATACTGGACACACCTGACATTACGTCACAATCCACATTACATCTTATTTAGAAAATACTGGACATTTATATTTTCTCATTTATATTTTCTCAATTTGTTTCCCGAACAGAAAGCTCAAATACTAGACTGTCCGGTTCAAAACCGGACACCTGGCAACCCTATGAGGCAAGACAAAGTAAACCTAGGGGTGGGCAAAAGGGCCAGATCTGGCCTACCAAGTGGGTTGATCCGGTCCGCGGATGCCCTGCCACTCTCCACCCCCAAGTCAATTAGGGTCTGGGGAGCACGTGACGTCTCCTCCCACCCTGCAAGGGGCACAAGGTACTTAGAGTCAACCATCAACTGCTGCTCAGCTGGTGCTTGACTCTAAGCATAGCGCTCCCTTGTAAGGTGGTAGCAGGGAATGAGAGACTTCCTGTGCTTCCCCTGCCCCCAGGCCCTGATTGACTTGGGGGTGGGGAGTGGTAGGGCATCCACGGGCAAAGTCTTCTCCCACTGCTAGGGCCTTGGGTGAGGGGGCAGGGGCAAAGAATTCACTGCTCCTTCCACTCTCAGGTCAATCAGGGTCTGTGGGCGGGAAAATTGTTGTCCACACTTACCTAGACCATCCTTGACATTTGTGGTATTTGTCTAATCCACTCTGAAAACCTCCAATGATGGGGGGGTCCACAACCTCGTTGAGAGTCTATTCCACTGCTTAACTATCCTTATAGTTAAAAAGCTGTTTTCCCCCAATATCTAACTTAAATCTTTTTTGTGGCAGATTAAGCCAGTAAGTCCTGTCCTACCTTCAGTGGACATGGAGAGCAATTAATCATGTACCTTTATATAAAAGCCCTTAATAGTCTTCAAATATGTTATGAGCTTAGCCCCCCCCAGACTTGTTTCCTTAGGACTAATTCAGGTTTTCAAAACCTTTTAACATTTTTGTTGCTCTCTGCTAGATTCTCTACAATTTGTCCATCTCTTTTCTACAGTGTGGAGCCCAAACATGGCCCCATACAGATTGAACCTCTCTAGTCTGGCACCCTTGGGACCTGACTGGTGCCAAACCAGAGAATTTGCCAGACCACGGGAGGTCAATGTTGTCTCACAGCATTACCAGCACTTCCATTGCTTACTGGGCTCTTAGAAGACATTTAGGGAGACATAAGAGCTAAATCACAGCTGCTTCCAGGGTTCTGGGAAACCCTGGGAGCAAATGCTGCCGCCATGTGTGGGGCGGGGGAACCCTGAGAGCAGCTGCCCCTTCACGTGCAGGACTGGAGCCAGGGAACCCCGGGAGCAGCTGCCGCCGCACACAGATCTGGGGCAGGGGAACCTTGGGGAGCAGCAGCTGCTGCCACCATTCCTGGGTCCAGGAACCCTTGGGAGCAGCTGCACTGTTGTGTGCAGGGCTGGAACCAGAGAATCCTGGGAGCAGCTACTGCCACTGATGCCATGTGCAGGGCTGGGAAAAGCCGCCGCGTGTGGGGCCAGATCCAGGGAACCCCAGGAATAGCTACTGCCCTGTGCAGGGCTGGGGACAGGGAGCAGAGTCCCGTGAGAGGGCTGGGGGCAGCAGATCCAGGCAAGTGAGCCAGAGGAGGTCAGGTCTCTGGGATCTTCTGGGGCAGTTGCCAGGAGGGGAGACCCGGGACAGCCCAGACACCTGACCTCTCCTAGTCTGGCAAATTCCCTTGTTTGGGACCACTCTGGTCCCCAGGGTGCCAGACAAGGGAGGTTCAACCTGTATTTCAACCAGTCGTGCACCCCCTTTGTTGGAAATTCATCTACACCACATTTTCATAGTTTCCTTATGAGAATGTCATGTAGGATTGCCAAAAGACTTACTAAATATCAAGATATATTATGTCTTCTGCTTCCCCCCATGCATGATGCCAGTAACCCTGTCAAAGAAGGAAATTGGTTGGGTATGATTTGTTCTTGACAAATCCATGGTGGCTGTTGCTTATGATCTTGTTATCCTATTACTTATTACACTATCAACATAATATTGTCCAGGCCAAAACAACAGCTGCTTCCTTGCCAGCTTCTTCAAACAAACAAAAAATCCTTTCTGCCTGAAATTTCTCATATTCTCAAACAAACAAAAAATCCTTTCTGCCTGAAATTTCTCATATACTGTCTCCTATGAGGAGATGACATTTTGGGGAGGCAGTTTATGATTTATTGACCAAGTTGTCTGGGAAGCAAAAAATGAATTTTCAGTTATACAAGTCTTCTAATTCATTTATTTAAATTTCTGCTTTTTGTACCACCTGATTCCATGTCAAATCAGGTGGATGTAGAAACTCCAGTTTTTTTGACCCATTTATATTAGTGCTATTTACATCTGGAAAGTTTGGTTTAGTCCATTATCAGTCATTAATTATAGGATTTGCCTCCGCTCCCATCTCTGACAAATTCATAGGTTACCTAGCAGATTTTATACATTTGAAATATTGCTAATCACAAGAATTCAATCATAAATCAGCCCCCCCCCCATCATAATATTGCCTTAATATCACGAGATTAAATAATCTCCAATAACATTTGAGATTTCTTTCTGGTTTCTGAGCCTATAGGTTACATTTGGGTCACATTTTTAAGCTTTACTCTAGAACCATAAAAGATAGAAATGTACTTAAAATCACATGATTCCAAGAGCTGGTGCTTTAGGAAAAGCAGCAGTCATCACTAGGCTAACGATAAAAAAAATCACAAGAGTTTGCAACACTGCCTTTATCTGTAGGTAATTGTAGCGTGCTCATCACTAAGCATCTAAGTGCCTCTGTGAATTTTATTCTCACACCACCCTGTGAGGCAAGTATTTACTATTCCCATTTCCCAAGAGAAGAAGTGAAGCACAGAGATGCAGATTCTCCAGTGCCTTGTAACTTGTACAGCCATTTATGCCATGCTAGCATTTTATACCCACTTCGCAGAAATATAGATAAGTACAAGGGACAATGGGGAATCAAGCCTAATGAGATTAAGGCCAAAATTATCAAAAATAAACTTGTAGGTTTTGACTGTCTCAGTTTTTGGTGCTCATCCTCAGTTATCTTCTTCCTGCTACTTTCTAGTCCCTGCTCATTTCTATCACATATATAGGTATGTATAAACCTACCGAACCTTTGCATTTGCGCTTTTTTTTTAAACTGATGCCCACCATTCACTCTAAACATACACACACTTACGGTTAGAATTTATAACATTCTTTTATGAACAATTTTTCCATAGAACTTAATACTTAAAAATGATGTTAAGCAAAAGCAGAAATTACACTTGAGCAGTTTTAAATTGTCTTAAAAAAACAGATAATAAAATTCCCTGACAAAAGTTTTTATCAAGTTAGAATCAATATATGTCTAAGAATATTATTCCCCCTCACCCACCGTGTTCCCAGAACAAAACAATGATGTTGTTTGTCATCAAAGCTTTGTAATGATGTTGCCTTAGAAAAGGCAAAAAATAATACAGTGGTTCAAAGCAGTCTAAATTAGGGATATTAAATATAGTTTAATCAACTAATCGTTGATTATTTTTCTGTCAATTAGTCGATAAGCAGGGGAGCCACAGTGAGGTTAGCTCCCGGTCCCAGGTAAGCTCTTAATACATATAAAAGGCTAAAGCGCAGCAGGGGGGACCCAGTGTGAGCTGGGACAGCTGATTTCTGGTTCATGCTGGGTCCCCCCGCTGTGCTTTAGTCCTTTAAATGTATTAAGATCCTGCGAGCTCTTAATACATTTAAAGGACTGGTGTGCAGCAGGGGAACTGGCGTGAGCCAGGCCAGCTGATTCTCGGGTCACACCGGGTCCCCCCTGCTGCACTTCTGATTTTTAAATGTATTAAGAGCCGGCAGCTTTTGTTTATCGGATAGTTGAGTAGTTGCTTACCTCCCTAATCTAAATGTAAGCTAGGAAATGCAGTTAAGATTTTGGGCTATTAGCTTTCCTTACTGGAAAGTATCCATGAAATATGCAATGGTGACATGTTAATTGTGTTGTTACTGGAAGAAAACACAATATTGTGAATGTCTTTCTCATAAAGCTCTTAGGCCTATGCATCCATGGTTTGCACAGTATGATAATTCAACATTTCATCACCAGCTCTTGGGAGATGAGTCTCCATTAAAGATGAGTGGCCTTTGCATTTCATTACAAATTCCTCTAGATCCGATCTCACTGGGAGGAATGACAGAGTAGAGAAAAGGAAAGTTTTACTGCTGTTTAGAAGGAACACATCTTACCTGTCTGTGCTGTTGAGAGATGGGATACTGCAGTCCTGAAATGTGTGGGCTTTGCTGCATTTTCTGTAGTAACATCTTCTGCTGCAATGCCAATGGTACATTTGGTGGCCTTTGAAGAGGCTGGTTTTGGAGAGTTTGCGGAGGTTGCTGTTGTTGCGCTTGCATGGCACTGGGGTTCGGCTGCTGCTGAGGGTAGTGCAGAATAGAAGACTTGCTTTGGGACCCCAAAACTGAAGGCATCTGCTGGTTGGTTTGCTCTGAGTTAAAATGACACAAAGGCTTTGTGTTGCCATGATGCTGCTCTAGTGGTGACTGAGTGTTGTTCATAAAGTTTCTGTTGAGATCCTGAGGCTTTGGTTGTATTATTATGTCAATGGGATTGCTCTGGGTTGTGGTGTTTGGTTTATAGATGTAGTTACTCATCGCTTTGGACTGATTCCCATTGACAGGTACCCCTGGCATGGCTGAACTTTGGGGGCTGAACTGTTGCTGACGAAAGGAAGGGCTGGGAATTTTCTCTTGTCCAAATTGTCCTGGGGAAGGGCCTGATGGGGACAAGGTGGGCCAGCTGGATGGCTGAGGTTGCTGCTGCTGCTGCTGCTGTTGCTGCTGAATCAAGGCATGTTGTTGTCGGTTGGCTGCTATTTGTTTTAGCTGCTGAGCATGAGATACTTCTTGCCAGTTAGTCATTGGTCGATTTGAGACAGAAGAGACCTGTGTCGACTGTGCTTGATTCTGAGGCACCGAAGGGATTGGTGAAGAGGTGGACATGGCAGCACTGGACATAGTGAAGGCTGGTCCTGTAGAAGGAGGCCTCATTTGTGGGGAGCCCACAGGTGCCTGAGTCAAGCCCGGTGAATATTCACTCTTTATCACTATTTTGTCCATCTGCAGAGAAGATCTAGCAGTGCCTCTCTGGTTTTGCTGCCCAAGATCAATGTTAAATGGCTCATCTTGTTTTATAGTGGCGTTTATCATATTTTCTAGTTCTAGGTCACTCATTGGTGGCACCGATATGTTAGTCAGCTCATTAAACAGCTCCTGAAGCTCTGGGTCCATCATCTGTTCCCCTGTATCTTCCCCATATCTGTTAGGGAAAATGTTTTCATGGGGCATCTGATCATCCAGGTGTTTGCTGCAAGATATGGTTTCTCCTGGTTCTTTCTTGACCTCTTTTAAAGGCATATTAAACATATGCCCACTAGAGTGCATACTGTTTGCTAGGTTGCTGGTCTTTCTTTGTGATCCTTGCCCCCCAGACAAAGTTCCTGACATTGATTGGCTTTGGCAACTGTTAACATGTCCGCCTTGTCCCATAGAAAGATTCTCACCCACTCGTATCCTCTTAATATCAAGGAAAGAGTTATCTGAAATACCATTGGGTCTCTTGTTGTTGTTAACAGGTGATAGATTTACCACCAGCTTCCTCTTCAAGGTGCCCTGGAGCTGAAAGAAGTGGGGAGAAAATAAATAATTAAATGACATTCAAGATCCAATCAATAGTCAGCCAACAGCAGGTTGATACTAATTTGATGCTTATTACGAGAGTTTGAAAAATTATATAGCAAATATTGGGCAATAGAGTAGGATAATCTGGGAATTAGGAGACTTTTTTGTGATACTAAAATTAATGGAGTTAAAATCGATTTCATAAATTTTAAGGCTAGGCTTATGATAAATTAATCTGACTTCTGATGTAACATAGAGCATAGAATTTCACCCAGTTATTCCAGTGTCTATTCCATAGAAGTGTTCTTACTGGCTGGCATTGACTCTGAGGACTCTCTCTGAAAGATGTTTCCAAAGACAAAACGAGTAATTAGCCATCCGCTCCCCACTGATTTTTGGCATAGCCAGATTTATACCAGCTAATGATCTGGTCCACGAGATATCTTCTACTACTGTGTCCCCCCCACGCAAATATGTAACCTCCTCAAAACAGCATCAGGAAGATATAGAAATCCATCAAACCACCATTCCCTCCCCCCATTTAACATAAAAGAACAAATGTCATGTTCCAAAGATGGTCGGAAGAACTGCCATTTGCAAATCTACAATGTAGTTTAGTTCTTTCACTTTATAGCAAAAGACATAATGGAGCCTCATCCACCTAACTGAGTGCATTCAGTACACTGGGTTTGTATTTTCTCTCTTTCATGGCACACTGAGTGAGATTTTTGGGTGGTCATTCACACTACAGAGTGCAATGACTGTAATCTGGTTAGCATGTTTCTTTTAACTTAACACATGAGTCACTGTACTTTCCTTTCCATAAAACCAGAAAACTACATTTCCTTTCGCCATCATCTTGCTATCATTTTGTTTATTAGAAATCATTCTCAAGTCCTCGCTTTCTTCTTTATGGGAAATGGGGAAGTACATATTTTGCTCTCCTATGTTTTGCTGACAGAAGTGCTATATAGATGATGAATAATTTATTCTGTGCATACAAGTGGGTTACCTGGCACTCAGGCCTTTCTTGATGAGCTTTGCATTTGCATTGACATTTTGAAACATGATTATCTGTTTTAAATGTCTTTTGGCCTTCAAATAACCCCCCAGCCTCTCCAAGCCTATCATGAGAAACAAGCTCCACACAGACTAGGACAAACCAACTTAAAGTGCCACCAGACCTTCCAGAACAACAGATGTAAACCCTGTAGACATAATCTCCACTGCTGCAATGAACAATACCCCCACAACAAGGTCCACAGGATCTATACTCGCCTACCAAAACATGTGGTTTGCCCTCATTCAGTGCCCCAATAACAATTATGTGGATAAAACCAGACAATCACTATGCTCTCGAATGAACTCACATAGGAAAATGATAAAAAGACCAAAAAACCCTATGACCTGTGGGTGAACACTTTGCACAAAGAGATCACTCTATATGGGTATGTCTACACTACAAAGTTAATTCGAACTAACAGACGTTAGTTTGAATTAACTTTGATAGGTGCTACACTAGCGCTCTGCTAGTTTGAACTTAATTCGAACTAGCGGAGCGCTTAGTTCGAACTAGGTAAACCTCATTTTACGAGGACTAACGCCTAGTTCGAACTAGCTAGTTCGAACAAAGGGCTGTGTAGCCCTTTAGTTCGAACTAGTGGGAGGCTAGCCCTCCCCAGGTTTCCCTGGTGGCCACTCTGGCCAACACCAGGGAAACTCTATGCCCCCCTCCCGGCCCCGGACCCCTTAAAGGGGCACGGGCTGGCTACGGTGCCCGTGCCAGGTGCAAGCCTGCCAGCACCCAGCTAGCAGACCCTGCACCTGGCACGG